TGAACATTTTCTATTATCACACTGCTTGGAGTTGTTGTCCTCTGTTGTTTCAGAAGGATACACGCTTGTTGTTTCATCTTTGATGGGTACATTAGTAACTGTTGTTTGCTCAATACTTTCACCTGCATGTCCGATTTTCATCGCTCTTAAACAGGGATATATCTTCAACATATGTTCTCGAAAGACTTTGTTTTTCTCAAAAAGACGAATGGTGCAATCTTAGTTATCCTGGACGGTGTCGCCATGACAATTGGATCGATTTCAGCATCCTTACTCAATACTTTCAAAAGAAGTACAAATGTGTATGGTGTGTAACATATTAAGAAGAAACCTGAAAAAAAAGAAAAACATCACATCTATTTAGATGTACAAAAGCAACGTCATAATTTTACGAGTTATACAGAACGACCACTAAAGGATTGTTAGATTCATGGATAAAGAAGTAAGAAGATTTTGTGGGGCTAACAGACGTTCGAAAAGCACAAGCACAAGTCTTGCAGGTAATTTTTGTTATCTCACCTTTTTGTACAAGCAGATAAAGAATTACGATCTTGCTCTTAGTTTCTACATTCATTCTTTGAAACACAATGCTATCATTGATAAACATTAACCTATATTTGTGTTATTCATTTTATAATTTTTAGAGAACTCTGTAACAAATTTAACAAAGTAGGTAGACAGATTTAATTTTAAGTAACGAATTCAACACATTCCGTCAAATTGCTTGCTGTCATTGGTCGTCTTTTGTTCTATCTTAAGTTTCTATATAAGGAAATGCCTGTAAAAAATCAGGATTATTACAGTTGTTTCCATTCGTTTGATGTGTTTGAGATTTTGATTTTGCCATTTGATATAGGTCTCTCCGTTCTGAATTTTCCTTGAAGTTTGATTTTTTTTTTTTTTAGTTTACTTTTTAATTTTTTCAAATTTGGGGAAATTTGTGTTTATGTCAAATCTCATTAAAATACAGATTCTTTGATCAAGCTTTGCTTATAAGGATCTGCAAACGCATCGTTCTAAGTTCTGTGTAAAAGAGCTTTCGGGATCATCTGGTTTTGTCGGATTAGAAGGCTTAAATATCCTTAGCGGATGAAATAATTACCTGAACAGAAAGTAAAATGGATTGTTGTCAGATCCTTGTAGGCTAAGCTTAGACACAGGATGTGTATTTTAATCAGATTGGTTCATGACAGAAATTGAAATAAGGTAACACTTTTAAATCGTTTCTAGACTATTGGCTATTTAGTAAAAAAAAATGAAAACAAGACTATGTAGATAGTATGTGTCTGAAGCCATTTTCATCATTTACCCTCTTTTGGGAACGCTCAAAGCCAAACATGCATAAGAATTGCGACCTGTAAAAAGCAGTAATTGCAAAATATTTCTATGGTCAACTTTGCCTGAGTGAGTTATTCTTTTCTTAATAATTTCTTAAACATGAACCACACACAATTTACGAAAATTATGATATATATTATGTCAGTACCAAAGTACTGACTTCTGCGCTGTTTGGGGACTTATTGATTTTGATATACTCTAAATTCACTTGTCGGCTGTATAAAAATAAGGAGATATGATAAGTACCCATACTGACGGCGGGTTAATATTTCATTGAAATGTACCCTAAGGCTTACTTTCTTCTCTTGAAAATAAGATTAGCATACAAGTTAAAAGACTAACCGATAATACTGGTAATTGTTACTGCAAGTTCTTGTTTGATAGTCAATTTCATTCGGAATTCTTGTCTGTTTACCACGAAAGTCCCCCTTCGGCTGTATCCCAAATTAGCCTTGGAATCTTTCGACACCTTTCATGAGAGAAGCAAAAGGATGGATGACGATACATTCAGCAATTTTTTCCGATCTTCATATTACTACGACAAATGCGACAACAAAAGCATCGCATACAATTACGTTTGGTGTACATCTGGTTGCATTATTTATTTGAATAGATTTTTGAAAATGCATTTCAACTTTTTTCCCTTCAACTGTTAATAACGAAAAAATTTGTAAATAATACAGTATTACCATTTAAAACGGTCCTGTTAAGTTTTCAATTTAATTATAACTTTAATATACTGCAGACTTATTTAAGAGTTAAGCATTTGAAAAATTCATAGTTATTCTTTGAAAATCAATCAAGCACGCATTAGTAAACCAATTATCATTTGAAATGGTCATGTTGATCTGAACAGCTTTTAAAAATTTTTAAAAAATGAATATTTCAGTAATTTTCAGTCTTTCAGTTAGTTATCAGACTTATCCACTGCGGTTAATTCAATAAGGATGTGATATTCATGTTGTAGTTCAAGATAATCAAAAATGAACTACTCACAAGAACATAGCGAACTAGTTGTGCAATCAGAGTTTTGTTTTTCAAATCGTTCAAAAAATTAAAAATAACAAAAACGGACGAAAAATTGTCTATTTTGTATAACGGTTTCAGTTACATTGTAGTTATCAGACTTATCCACTGCGGTAAATTCAACAAAGATGGGATATTTCTTTTGTAGTTCACGATAATCAAAAATGAACTACATAAATGAACATAGTGAAATAATTTCATTTGTAATTTTGCAATCCGTATTTTTTTTTTCAAATCGTTCAAAAAATGAAAAATAACAAAACCAACGAAAAATTGTCTAATAGTATAATGATTCTCAAGTAAAACAGAAACACCCAAATCTACAAAAAAGCTCTAAGTGATGTTTATATTCGTTTATTTAATGTCAGGTCCCTTCGATAAAATTTCACCATCCCTATAATTTAATTTATCAAATTAAACAAACTAAGGACGGAGCAAATTGATACTTACAAAAATGTGTCCCTTTACAATAAAGGTAATTTTCAACGTGAAAACAATTCTAAATGGAAAAGAAACTGTGAAAAGTGAATTAAAACCGGAAGTGGCTGGTCATCTCATTTATATTAAATAAAAAGAACTACAAATTACATGGTTTTTTAATCTGTGCAATCGTTTTTTAAACGAAGGTAATTTTTTGGTAATTTTTCATAGTTTTTGAATATCTATATAAAACTTGTAACTTTTAAGATCCTATGTAGTCTATGATTTAAATATTATATAGATTGTATTTATATCTTACGAATACAATACTTTTCAATTTCAAGAAGCAGAAAGAGAGGCCTTATCTTATATTTTCCTTTGATTAAAAGCTAAATAATTACCAAACATATCAACAAGATCTGATTCCTAGTCGAGGATTTACTCTTGGTCTTTTTTTAATTTCATCAGCTCTTCAACGTTTGTATAAAATTTATAAAGTGGAGTTTTAAAAACATTTTTTTTGTAACACTGAAGAGACATCAATTGTCGAAATGCACAACTGGTGCCATTAATGTAATTTTTTAAACCGTTTGCCGAATATATATTAACATTAACTCAGTGACTCAAACAATCTTATTCACTGTGTATCATCACCACCGGATATAGGTACCCTTGGCCTGGTTCTCTGTTCATTGTCTAAGAAAAACATAACTGTTCAAATACCAGCGTATAGCTACCTGGCCAAGGGTACCTACATCTTGTGGTGATGATACACAGTGTTATTGTTAGTAAATATATATCAATCGAGTTTTGGATTATCATTTTTGCAAACAATTTTTCTTTGTCTGTTTTTTTTTTTTTTTTTTATTTGAACAGACATAACTTGAATCGTAAGTCCTTTCGAGTATCAAATACAATATGTGGTTGATCAAGCAATTGTTGAGACAAAAACAGATTTTGTAACAATGTTTTATACTTAGAAGTATGAAACGCTTTAAAAACACTTTATAAAGGGGATAGTAGGGTATAAATATATTTATGTATCAATTCATTTACCTCTGCAGCAAATAATTTTTAAAAAAAACAACATTATAACAAACACATGTTATTCAATAAAATACGAAATTTTACAGATAATTTTAAGAACAAATCTTCTTATTTAATATTAACTGCAGGGTTTGTTACTCGTGCTGTGTGGATGCAGTATAATGTGTCCCCATGTCTGTAGTCTATGTCTTTATATTTTACAGTTAGGGTATCTTTGCTTGTGAGAGAGCTGTCTATTTATTCCATTATATTCATTTGGTTTCTGATGGAGAGTTGTCTCATTAGCAATTATACCCCATCTTCTTATTTTTACATAAATGCGGTTCAGACTTTGTTAACTCAGATAGATTACCGAAGTATAGAAACAGATGAATCTAATTGATCAGTTGTCATCGTGTAAATGGAAACGTTATTTACAAATTATACGAGATAAGCTAAAATGAATAATTAAAATCAAACACGGCTTTCAAGCTAATTGAAATTGATTGTATGTACAAATATGTCTGCGGGCGTTTCAGAATTAAAATTTCAATGGCTTTTTTATTTTGTTGGTATGGGATTGTTGGAAATATATGAATGCAACATAAATAAACTGAAATTGGTTTAAAAGAGAAAATGATTCTAAATGTGTTCTTCTATCAAGATATCTCTAATAAAAACTTGGAAATTTGTCAATTTGTTAAGTATTTGGTTTTGAAATATTCATATTTCACACTTTTCGTCAACCACAGTAATTAATATAAGACTGGCATATGTCAAAAATGATTAAAAATATAATTAGAATATATTACAAATAATGATTCAGAGATCAACTGAAGGTCTTTCACCTCTCGTGTTGATGTTTAAAGTTGAAATTAAGTTTTATATAGATATTCAAAAACTATGAAAAATTACCAAAAAATTACCTTCGTTTACAAAACGATTGCACAGATTAAAAAACCATGTTATTTGTAGTTCTTTTTATTTGATATAAATGAGATGACCAGCCACTTTCGGTTTTAACTGGTATCCTTCTTATTCTTCTTATAACAACTCTTGTATCTTTAATTTCAAACGGTTCTGTTGTGTTTGCATTGTTGGTAAAAGATAGGAGGCTTTTGATCAGATTAACTGTTTATATTATAGCAATATGTTGTTTGAACTTGTTAACGTCAATGTTTGGTACACCAATGGTGGTGGTGTCCTGCTTTAACAAAGTATTAGGCTGTACGTACTACGGCTTTTTTATGACGTTTGAAGGTCTTGCTTCAATGCTTCTTTTGACCATGATTACCGTCGACCGGTATATATACGTTGTTAAACACAATTTATCAAAACAACAACTAACCAAACCAATCATTATAACTTTAACTGTAAGCGTTCTCATGACTTTTGGATTCACCGTTAGTCCTTTACTTGGGTGGAACAAGTATACATATGCAGGAGTTGGTACCTCATGCGCAATAGATTTAGCTACAGAAAACAACAACGGCCAATCATTCGTGATAACCATCCGTGTTATCTACTTTGCTTTACCTGTTTCTCTGATGATATTTGCATACGGATCTATCTATGTAAAGGTTTGTACAACCTTCCAAGGATATCAAAACAAAAGCATGAAATAATGTTTGTGGTGCAACTGTAAATGAAAGTAATTTATGCATTTCATAATTCCGAAGCGTTTTCCAGGTTTTCCCTCATCAAAAACTCTCAACCTATAATAGGCAATTATAGGCAACCGTACAGCCTTTAACAATGACAAAAAACATATACAGTATAGTCGCCTTTAAAAGGCCCCGACATTAAAATATGGAACAATTCAATTGAGAAAACTAAAAACCTTATATATGACTTTGCCTGAGAATGTTGGAACATATAATAAATAACAGAATGTCTGTGAAAGGAATAGAAGATAAACCTTGCACTTGCATGAAATATTTGCCATTAGATGTTAAGGAACCATCAATCTATCAATCAATTGGGATGGCATATGATAAGTTGGTTATCACCTAATCTGTATTCGGTTTCCATTTTAGTCATTTATAACCGCTATTCCTCTATAGATCATTAAATATTAGGACTAACAATTATAGTTTTTACTTAAATATTTTTTATGAGATAATTGACTACCCTATTCATGGTAAAAATAATGCGGAATATTTGGTAGTGTTGATTGTTTATGTTTTCAGGTTAAATTAATATACTTAAGGGGGTACCCAACACTTTGACTAAATTTGACTCGTTTAATTTTCATAAAATTAAATTGACAAAAATATAAAAATTTCAAGAGATTTGAACCACACAATGTATAGGAATAATTTCTTTTGGATATATAGCAGTTTGACAAACACTTATTTTGATCATTGAGATGCTTGATTTTTCTTTACTAATAGTATGTAATTAAAACGTTCAGCGGATTTTTAAAGAATTAACTCCTTTAGGTGTTTTGTACCCTCATAAATGTTAAAAAATGCATACATGTTTATCAAATGTAAAATGAACAGCAAAATCTGGAAGGGCAGTACATTGAGGGTTTGATTTCATTAGTAGATCTTGAAATGTTATTGAATAATTTACTTTTCACAGTTTCTTTTCTATTTAGAATTGTTTTTACGTTAATAAATTTCCTATATTTTTAAGGGCCAAATTTTTGTAGGTATCGATTTGCTCTGTCCTTAGTTTGTTTAATTTGATAAATTAAATTATAGAGACGTTGAAATTTTATCGAAGGGACGTGACATTAAACAAATCAAATATAAACATCACTTAGAGCATTTATGTAGATTTGGGTATTTCTGTTTTACTTGAGAATCATTATACTATTAGACAATTTTTCGTTCGTTTTGATATTTTTCATTTTTTGAACGATTTGAAAAAAAAAAATTTGATTGCAAAATTACAAATCAAATTAGTTCACTATGTTCGTTTATGTAGTTCATTTTTGATTATCGTGAAGTACAAAAGAAATATCCCATCCTTGTTTAATTTACCGCAGTGCATAAGTCTGATAACTACAATGTAACTGAAAGACTGAAAAGGACTAAAATATTAATTTTTTTTTAAGAGCTGTTCAGATCAACATGACCATTTCAAATGATAATTGGTTTACTAATGCGCGCTTGATTGATTTTCAAAGAAAAATGAATAACTTTGAATTTTTCAAATGCTTAGCTCTTAAATAAGTCTGCAGTATAATATAGGTATTATTAAATTTAAAACTAACAGGGCCGTTTTTTAAATTAATACTGTATTATTTACAAATTATTTCGTGCTTAACATCTATTTAAAAGGGAAAAAAGATGTAATGCATTTTTAAAAAACTATTTCCAAATAAATAATGCAACCAGATGTACACCAGTGTAAATGTATGCGATGCTATTGTTGTCGCATTTTTCGTAATGATATGAAGATCGGAAAAAAATGCTGAATGTATCGTTATGTTATCCTTTTGCTTCTATCATGAAAGGTGTCGAAAGATTCCAAGGCCAATTTCGGATACAGCCGAAGGAGGACTATCGTGGTAAGCAGACAGGAATTCCGAATGAAATTGACTATCGAACAAGAACTTGCAGTAACAATTACCAGTATTGTCGGTTAGTTTTTCAACTTGTATGCCAATCTTATTTTCAGGAGAGGAAAGTAAGGGTACATGTCAATGAAACATTAATCCTCCGTCACTATGGATACTTAAAAAGACTTTTAAAAGTCAATTGCTGTTTACATCGTAGGCTAATCATTTGGTGATTGATAGACACATTGGCAACAATATCACACCTCCTTATTTGTATACAGCCGACAAGTGAGTTTAGAGTATATCAAAATCCCCAAACAGCGCAGAAGTCAGTGCTTCGGTACTGATATAAAATATTTCATAATTTTCGTAAATTGTGTGAGGTTCATGCTTAAGAAATTATCAAGAAAATAATAACTCACTCAGGCAAAGTCGATCATAGAAACATTCTTATACATGTTTGGCGTTCCCAAAAGAGGGTAAATGATGAAAATGGCTTCAGACACATACTATATACAAAGTCTTGTTTTCATTTTTTTTTTACTAAATGGCCCATAGTCTAGTAATGATTTAAAAGTGTTACCACATTTCAAAGATCTGTCATGAACCAATCTGATTAAAAAACACAGCCTGTGTCTACATTTTGCCTACACGGATTTGACAACTCTATGTTTTACTTTCTGTTCTGGTATTTCTTTCATCCGCCAAGGATATTTCAGCCTTCAAATTCGACAAAACAAGATGATCCCGAAAGCTCTTTTACACAGAAAGTAGAACGTTGCGTTTTCAGATCTTTGTAAGCAAAGTTTGATCAAAGAATCTGTATTTTAATGAAATTAGATACAAATTTCCCGAAATTTGAAAAATATTAAAAAGTAAAATAACAAACATATCGAGCTCCAAGGAAAATTCAGAACGGAGAGTCCCTTATCAAATGGCGAAATCAAAATATCGAACACATCAAACGAATGGAAAATAACTATAATAATCCTGACTTGTTACAGGCATTTCCTTATATAGAAACTTAAGATAGAACAAAAGAAAACAATGACAGCAAGCAATTAAACGGAATGTGTTAAATTCGTTACTTAGAATTGAATCTGTCAACCGACTTTGTTAAATTTCTTACATAGTTCTCTAAAAATTATAAAATGGATAGCAACCTAAAGATATGATGTTGCGCTTGTACATTTAAATATATGTGATATAAAAAAAAAAGTAAAATCACAAAAATACTGAACTCCAAGGAAAATTCAAAAAGGAAAGTCCCCAATCAAATGGCAAAATAAAAAAAACAAACACATCAAACGAATGGATAACAACTGTCATATTCCTGACTTGGTACAGCCATTTTCTTATATAGAAAATGGTGGATTGAACCTGGTTTTATAGCTAGGTAAACCTCTCACTTGTATGACAGTCGCATCAAATTCCATTATATTGACAACGATGCGTGAACAAAACAAACAGACACAATAGGTAAAAATGTCAAAAATAGGGGTACAGCAGTCAACATTGTGTTATAATCTTAATCACTATAAGAACAAACAAATGTAACGAAGAAGCACAAAAAGGCATACATCAAATTTAAAATCCTTATTTTGCTTCTATTATACGATTTTATTTATCTATGTAAAATCCACCCATAAAGGATGGAAGGTTTTAAGTACTGGCGTAAAATCGCGCGTGTGAAATTCGCACAGGTAGACATAAAATAATTTTGTCGTTCAAATTATGAGGGGACACATAATACAGAGTCACGTCAAATGTATATCACAAAAAACAGACTCAACAGTAAAAGTAATATTAATAAATAAAATAATTTTATATTTTTCTTTTTTTTTAGGTTTCTTCTTAATTTGTTAAACACCATACACATTTGTACTTCTTTTGAAAGTGTTGAGTTAAGATGCTGATATCGACCCAATTGTCATGGCAATACCGTCCATGATAACTAAGGTCGCGGGAATTTTTACACCATTCGTCTTTTTGAGAAAAAACAAAGTTTTTCGAGAACATATGTTGAAAATATACCCTTGTTTAAAATCGATGAAAATAGGACATGCAGGTGAAAGTATTGAGCAAACAGCAGTTACAAATGTACCCATCAGATTGAAACAACAAGCTTGCATCCTTCTGAAACAAAAGAGGACCACAACTCCAAGCAGTGTAATAATAGAAAATGTTCGCTTATCAAAAAGAAAACCTCGACAAATGACAAAACTGTGACTATTATAATACCAGATAATTGTTCTAATGTTGCTGTGTGCACTGTAGATAAATCTGATATTTACGAATATCAGAAAGAATCTTCTTTTTCAAGAAATATTGGGAAATGTTCGGTGGGTATTATAGACACATCAGATGCAGAGAGTATTCTGAAACTATCTGATGTTTAGAGAAATTATAGTTTTGTGACCTTCCATCACATTTTGGCCGCTTTTACTGTGATCAACAAATAATTACGTTTCAACTACCGTAGGTCCTCGCTTATAAATCGGAAATCTGAGAATACAATAGAGGCTATCGACTTATAGGCGAGATTTAGCACCAGGGTATGTGTGATCGATTGTAACATAACTAATCATAATCTAAACAGATCACTCTACATATATGTATGATCCGTTGTTGTCTAACCACATCTAATAAAATTTTGCAATGGCTCGAATGACTTTAAACCACCCGAGTTCACTCGTGCATGAACTCAATATCCCAATCGAACCGACCTTACTATAATTAACCAAACACAGTCAACTATAAACAAACAACATTTTTACATGTTCGATTTTTTTTTGTACAACTTTGATAAATACATTTAAATTCGTCATGATACGTGTCGTTGTTTGCAACACCCTTTCAGCAAGTTAAGTGGCATGCGTCAGAAGGTGCTAATTTTCTGCAGTTATAAATGCTACACAACTTTAATGCAAATAAATATGAAACTCTTCGGAAAATAACATGAATAAAACAAGTTATTGCTTTTCTAAATGTACTAGTTAAAACGTTTTATGAAATAATTCTGCAATTAAGCTTGAACCAAAAGATGCTTTGAGGGAGTTTGAGGTAAACTGTTAGAGCTGTTTCATCGACTCGTGATATTTAATTGTTCCTTTT